TACGGATCAGACTTGGAAGAAAGTTGAGAACAAAACTTCCTATAATCTTTGTCATCGTAGAGTCTTATGATCCCCGTTTTATGGGAACTGCCATTACCAACGGTAAACATTCCATCACCATCACCCTTGTCACTCTCAATTAAACTTCTTTTCTTTTTGGAAAATGAAGTAGAGAATTCCTCTATAATCTTTCTTTTATCTACTTAGGAAATGTTAAAATTCCTGCCTATACCATCACTAGTTGAAACACATGCCATTGCAGTCTCAACATCATTGTCGCTAACGAGAACAACAATTGATCAAAATACACACCCTGTCAGCTACTGTATCCAAGTTATTCTCTGTATCCAAGTTTATCCCGAGTAATAGTACCACGAGGATAATCACCAAAGCCACCGGACAGCTTTATGATGCCAGTGAAGCAAGATGAGTTACTCAATGAAACTCGTATTGTAAAGAAGAAGAAAGAGACTGATCCAGAAAGGTGGGTCGAGGGTCGAGCCTCGACTATACATGTAAGTTTTTTACTTTTCATTAAGTATTTTGATTTACTTTTATATAAATTTTGAAATATTAATTCAATATAATTTTTCTTATAGGTTCGCTTCACAGCTGATGTGGGGGAATTCATACGCAGTCAGCCACCTAACGAGTCGGCCGAGGCAATCCAACTTTCGAACGAGGATGCTAAAAGAACACTCCTTGAGTACTTTATATACTTTGAACTAGACAATAGAACTAGTTTTTGAATGAGCTTGTAATAAACGTTAACTTAGTTTTGTTAGCTTAATGTTTTAGTGCTATTGATCTTTATATTTTGTTGCTTTTTAGTGTTGTTGTTGTTGTTGTTGTTGGCATAAAATGTCTGTTTAGGATATGTGGTATAAGCTGGCAGGTGGTGTAGCAACCAAAACAGGCAGTTTCTGCCAAAAATATAACAAAAAAAGCGACCAACTTTGGTCTCCAGTTGGTCGCTTTTCACTTAAAAAAAATAATTTTCTGGGCAATAGCGACCAATCTTGGTCGCTATTTTATTTTAAAAAAACAATTTCTGGTAGTTTTGCGACCAACTTTGGTCGCTCATAGTTAAAAAAAAATTAATTCTTGCCATTGGCGACTAATATTGGTCGCCCATTAAATAAAAAATTATAACATTTATTAATATAGCAACCAAAGTTGGTCGCTTAATATGATTAAAAATAAATAAAAATAAAACGTTATTTACATCTGGAGACCAACTTTGGTCGCCAAATATATAATATTAAAATATTTGAGCGACCAAAGTTGGTCGCTATATGCTTTGCCCGGAAAATTTGGTCCTTTTACCTGAGAGACCAATGTTGGTCGCTATTTAGCGACCAGCTTTGGTCCCTAAGGTAAAGGGACCAGCTTAATATCGACCAGGCGTGGTTGGTCGCTTTTTGGCCAATAAGCGACCAATGTTGGTCGCTTTTGCTGGTCGTTTTTTTTCGGAATTCTAGTAGTGTTTTGGACCCAAAAAATAATTGACTTATAACTCTCTAACATTTAATTAATCTTAAGAGAATAAATTTTTCAATGTCAATGTGGTAGCTACTATGGTGAATCGGCTCCTTGTTAGTTGTTAGAGTAAATTATATTAATCCAAACTAAGGAGATGTTATGTGACGTGAATGAAGAATAGTAGAGATAATACTTAGAAATGGAGGATTATATTTGATCAATCAACGAAATTATTATAATCTAATTAAATAGCAATTCTCTATGCAAGGATTGCAAAGTGATCCCGAGTGAGTTCCTCGCGACACAACATAGGCTCTTGGTGATGGACGTCGGCATCTTAATAAAGAAGAAGAAGCGGGTTATCTGGAGTCATCCAAGGATCAGGTGGGAAGCTTTGTCGAAGGATAAAGCGCAGGAGTTGGAGAGGAAGTTGATGGATATGGGGCCTGGAAGAGTAGTTGGGGCGAAAGAAGCATGTGGACAATGACGGCGAATTGTATTAGGGAGGCCGCGACGGAGGTGTTAAGGGTCTCGAAGGGTTACACTAGGGGGCACAGAGAGGACTGGTGGTAGAATGAAGAGGTTCAAGGAAAAGTGGAGGCCAAGAAAGCGGCATACTTGAAGTTAGTGGAGAGCTCATATGAGGAGGAGAGAAGAGCGAACATAGAAGGGTACAAGAAGGCTAGGAAGGAGGCGAAACTAGCGGTCACGGAAGCAAAAAATGCAGCATTTGGTCGCTTGTATGAAGAATTAGGGGATAAAGGCGGGGACAAGAAGTTATTTCGGTTGGCCAAGGTGAGAGGGAGAAAGGCACGTGATTTGGATCAAGTGAGGTGCATCAAGGACGAGGGTGACAGAATTTTAATGGATGAGGCTCAGACTAAGCAGAGATGACAGACTTACTTTCACAAACTTCTGAATGAGGAGGGGGACAGAGACATTGTGTTGGGTGATTTGGAGCACTCTGAGAGTCACCGTGATTTTGGGTATTGTAGGCGTATTAAGGTCGATGAGGTCGTGGGGCTATGCGTAAGATGAGCAGGGGCAGAGCGACAGGTCCAGATGAAATTCCGGTTGAGTTTTGGAGGTATGTGGGTAGAGAGGGCATAGAGTGGTTGACGTGATTGTTTAATGTTATTTTTAGGACGAAGAAGATTCCAGAGGAATAGAGATGGAGTACGATGATTCCGTTGTACAAGAACAAAGGTGATATCCAGATTGCAACAACTATAGGGGTATTAAGTTGCTTAGTCATTCTATGAAAGTGTGGGAGAGGGTGGTGGAAGCGAGGATGAGGAGGTCGGTGTCTATATCAGAGAACCAATTCGGTTTCATGCTTGGCCGTTCAACTACGAAAGCTATCCATCTCATCAGGAGGTTGGTGGAACAGTACAGGGATAGGAAGAAAGATTTACACTTGGTGTTTATTGACCTAGAGAAAGCGTACGACAAGGTCCTGAGAGAGGTTCTTTGGAGGTGTTTGGAGGCTAAAGGTGTTCCGGTAGCATACATTAGGGTGATTAAGGACATGTATGATGGAGCTAAGACTTGGGTTAGGACAGTGGGAGGTGACCCGGAGCATTTTCCGGTAGTTATGGGGTTGCACCAAGGATCAACGCTCAGTCCTTTCCTATTTGCCCTGGCGATGGACGCGCTAATGCACCATATTCAGGGAGAGGTGTCATGGTGTATGTTATTTGCTGATGATATAGTCCTGATTGATGAGACGCGAGGCGGTGTCGGCAAGAGGTTGGAGGTTTGGAGACAAACCCTAGAGTCTAAAGGTTTCAAGATGAGCGGGACTAAGACAGAATACTTGGAGTGCAAGTTCACTGACGTAACGTGGAAAACGGACAGTGACGTGAGGCTTAATTCACAAGTCATCCCCAAGAAATGGAGTTTTAAGTATCTTTTGTCTATTATCCAGGGGAACGGGGAGATTGACAAGGATGTCACACACCATATAGGGGCGGGATGGATGAAATGGAGGTTAGCATCTGGCGTCTTGTGTGACAAAAAGGTGCCATCAGAACTTAAAGACAAGTTGTATAGACCGGTGGTTAGACCGGCTATGTTGTATGGGGCAAAATGTTGGCCAGTCAAGAACTCTCATATCCAAAAGATGAAAGTAACAGAAATGAGGATGTTTGAGGTGGATGAGCAGGCATATTAGATTGGATAAGATTAGGAATGAGGATATTCTGGCTAAGGTGGGGGTGGCGCACATAGATGACAAAATGCAGGAAGCGAGGCTTAAATGGTTCGGGCACGTGCGGAGGAGAAGCCTTGACGCTCCGGTTAGGAGGTGCGAGCGGTTGGCTTTGTCAGGTGTGAGAAGAGGTAGAGGGCGGCCTAAGAAATATTGGGGAGAGGCGATCAGGCAGGACATGGCGCGACTCTAGCTCATCGAGGACATGACCTTAGATAGGAAGGCTTGGAGGGCGAGCATTAGGGTCGTAAGTTAGTAGGTAGTTGAGCGTTTTTCTTCCTTATTGAGGGTGTTAGGCTAGTTTTTAGTGTCTTGCTTTAGATTGTTAGTGGTACTTGTTGTGTTTGTATTGTTTTCTGCTCCGATTGCCTAGTACCTTTCCATTATTCTGATTATTGATATTGTTTTTTCCATTTATTTTCTGATTCTTAGGTTGCTGCCATTGTCTTCTTGACATATATGGTTGTTATTGTTCTATTGCCTCTTTTTCATCTCCTTGTGCCGAGGGTCTTTCGGAAACAACCTCTCTACCCTCCGAGGCAGCGGTAAGGTCTGCGTACATACTACCCTCTCCAGATCCCACATGTGGGATTATACTGGGTTATTGTTGTTGTTGTTGTAATTAAATAGCAATTCTAAGCAAGTAAGGATGACAGAGTGAGATTCAGTAACCGAATTACCGGAATAAGCTTGAATGCTTGATATATCAGTTTTGGTTATAATAACAGAAGAAGCAATCCTTTGGTTATAATAACAGAAGAAGCAATCCTTATGTAGATATCTATTGGCTTTATGCTTTTGTGGAATAATCTAGACTTTCTTTATGTCTTGGAGGTGTAATCTTTATGGATGGTAAAAAACGTTGTGATCTTGATTTTTTGAGCTTTTTTTCCTCTCAAGATAGTGTATATTCTCATCCACTAGCTTTAGCATTATGCTGTATAGCTGATATTCATGTCTATGCGGAAATTTCATTGCTTGGATCTTCATTAGATATTCTCTACTATAAGACTTCAATGAGAGACGTTTTGTGTTCCCTGTTCAAGCAACAACTCTCTTGCTCGAATCCTCAAAAAATGTTGCCGTACCTATATTGGATCCTCCAAAAATACATCGCTTTTGGAGGATAAATACACGTGACCATATTTTTAAAGAGTTGGAGCAATCATAAAACCGCGGTTAAAGAGAATAGAGTCCAGCCACGAAAGCTTTGATGGGAATTTGCTTTGAGCAAAAGCCTATGTGATACTGTGGTCTCACAATCTTCAACTTTTGAACTGGGACTGTTTAGGATAGATTTTGCTCATGCAATGGCTAAAATGGACACTTTAACCTCAAAAGTTACAAATTAAAATAAAATACATATTACTTAACAATGGTTAAATGAAAATGTTTGTAAAGAGACGTATACTTTTTATATTCATTCACTTGGTGTAACATTGGGTGGACATAATCTTTTGTATAGATTAAAGTATTAAAAGTTGTCATATAGCCGGATGATTCTCTGTGCGGTTCTCCAAAATCCCATCATTTCTCCTCATAGAAACCATCTTCACAGGTTCTTATAGATATAGGAGGAAATTTCTTTCATAGTTTCAGGGACAGTCTCTAGCAAGGACAAAAAGGAATATACAGAAATTGCCATGAAAGTTCATTTCCTGCTCGACACAATCGGGCTGGTGCTCCCTTCCAAGAGCTAAGTAGAGTGCGCAGTCAACAATACCAGTCAAATCTTTAAAATTTATCACAGATTACCAACACCATTATCACCAGTAATCACCACAAGAACATTGGCCACCACTAAAATGGTGAAACCGATAAGGATCCCTCAATATGATTTCCCTCCTAATAATGCTGCTTGCGAACTTGAAAACTGAATGGCAATCGCCACAGACTCTAAGGTTCTTAAATATTCGAAGAGTTGAACCTTCAGGAGTACTAATCAAACCGTATGCTAGTGCAAGTCTTTCACTATGCATCCATAAATTGTGCTCTTTCTGTTCTTCATCCGTGTCATGCAATGCAAAGCTTGTATCAGCAATATAACCGGCCTCCTGAATCTTTTTTCTCAGTTCTGTCAACTTCCCGTATATTTTCTCTGACTTCGGGTGAGACAAGTCTCCGATCCCAAAGGTGCATATTTGGTTCTTTAACTTGACCCAACTGCAAGCAAGCTGCTTTTTCACTTTATGCGATTCCATTTCAGCTCTCACATTCTGAACGTCCTGCCATCTCCCCGAAGTTGCACACATATTTGAATAAAGAACATAAGCTGAGTCATCCGATGGGTTAGATTTCAGAAGATTTTCGGCTGCTACCTTTCCTAGTTCTGTATTTCCATGCATCCTGCATGCTGCCAACAAGCTTCTCCAAACGAAGTCATTTGGTGGCACTGGCATTTCTTTAATAAAAGCAATGGCTTCAGGGAACCTTCCAGATCTTCCAAGAAGGTCTACTACGCAAACGCAGTGCTCTATGCCAGCCGGGACTCCAAATTCAGAAGCCATAGAAGCAAAATATCTAAGACCTTCATCTACTAGACCACCGTGACTACAGGCTGATAGAAGAGAGACAAAAGTGACATGGTCTGGCTTTGAACCTTGCTTTACCATATCGTGAAAAGTATCCCTAGCTTTCTGGAAAAGTCCATGTCTGGCAAAAACAGATATTAATACATTCCAAGACAATCTTGGACGCATATTTGGTTCGGGGAATATTTTCAGAACATCATTCATTTCACCACATTTCCCATACATATCCATTGTAGCATTTCCAACAAAAGAATTTGAGTCAAACCCAAGTTTAGTAGCTAAACAGTGAATCTGTTGACCCTCTTCCAAGGATGCCAAGTTTGCTGCAGCTGAAAGTGCAGCAGAGAGGCTGAATTGGTCAAACTCCAGTTTTTCCCTTTGCATCTGCAGAAGAAGTTTCAACGCTTCCTCCCAGAGACCAACACGAGCATTGGCGGCAAGCATAGCATTCCAGGTCACTGATGTCTTATTTAGTAGTGCATCAAAGATAAGATTACTTGAATCGAGATCGCCACAGTCCGCATACATAGTGATGAGAGAGTTCCTGACGTATTCATTTGTCTCAAAACCAGTCAGAATTATATGTCCATGCAACGGCATGCCATACTTCAGCAGATCAGTTTCAGTTGAGCAAGAACCAAGAACATTAATCAAAGTGATGTAATTTGGAGAATTCTCTTCCTCTCTCATTGACTTAAAATTTCTCACTGCCTCAAGTGTGTCCTTATTATCTGCATAGCCACCAATCAATGCATTCCAAGTGACTAATTCCTTGTCAGGCATTTTGTGAAATACCTTTTTAGCCTCCAACATCATACCACACTTCCCATACATGGTGACTAATGCATTGCCAACTATTAAATTGTCATGGAGCCCATGAACAATTACAAGAGCATGAACAGTTTTTCCTTCAAGAAGCAACTGACCATCTGAACATGCAGCCAAAGCACTAGCGAAAGTCACATAGTTAACTGTTCTTTGCAAGTGAAGCAGTTCGGCGAACACTTCCAAAGCCTTGAAGTACTTAACTGTTAAAACATAACCAGCCATCATGGAGTTCCACGAAATCACATCCTTTGCTGGCATGGCAAAGAACAAACTTTCCGCATCTTTGGGCCTCGAAGCCTCCAAATACATGGAGAGAAGAGTATTACAGACACAAATATTAGAATCCCATCCCAATTTCAACGACAAACCATGAACACCTCTGCCTAAGTTTAGACACTTGATAGTTCCACAAACAGACAACAATGCAGAAAGTGTAGTTGAATTGACATCATCGTGAACATGACGCATTTCAGAAAACGAGCTGAACGCTTTCTCGCACAATTGGTTATATGCTAGTGCTGAAATAATCGAATTCCACGATATAGTGTCACGGTCAATCATGCCCTCAAAGATATAAGAGGCATCTTCAATGCAACCAAAACTACCAAACATCGAAATAAGAGAATTTGATACAGAAACATTGTCTTGGAATCCGGACTTTACAACCTGACCTAGCATTTGATGACCCAGAAAATCATCATCAAGAGCTAGGGAAGAACTAATAACAGCAGTACATGTGTTTTCATTACCAGACACCTCTTCATGTCTCATTCTCTGGTATAGATCTATTACCACCTCTGGGTAACCATTATCGGAATATGCGACCATCAAAGAAGTCCAAGTAACAACATTCCTCTCAGGCATTTCCTCAAACAGTGTTTTAGCACTAAAAGGTAGTCCATATACACCATAAAAATGGAGAAAAGAAGTTCCCACAAAAACATCATTCAACAAACCATATTTCAAAACCAATCCATGAATTTGAAATCCTTCCAAAACCATATTTTCCAATCTACTGAATGCAGTCAACAAGCTAGCTATGAAATACCCGTTTGGTTGAATTCCAAAACCCCACATTTCAACAAAAAGAATTACAGCATCCCAGTAAAGACCCATCCTAACAAACCCAGATATCATATTATTCCAAGACGCCCCATTTCTCCCGGGCATTAAATCGAACACATGACGAGCAGCTTCGGTGTTCCCAAATTTCGAATACATACCGATCAAAGTGTTGTAATGGAAAATGCTCAAATGGGGTTCTTCCTTTAGACAAACTGCATGAACTGCCCTTCCAACAATTTGTTGGGTGATTTTGGAGAAGCCCTTTTGATGAAACCCAGAGATTTCTGGTTCTAGGTGGTGCTGTAGGCATTGAAAGGGGCGGTTTATGGGCTGCTGTTGTCTGCATTGGACTGAGATTGTGCTGAAGTAAATGTTCAAAGCGCAGAGCTTGTTGTGAAGGCAAGTATGTCTGGTTCTGATATGATAGAGCAATAAAGCACTCATAAAATCAGTTGTAGAAACAAAGCTGCAGTATTATTTCAACCTTTGGGTTGCAACTTCAGTTGCCAAAATAGTACTCTACATAAAAATTCGAAATCAAAAGTCATTGATGCCGCCAGATTTTTCCTTTGTCTGTGAAAAACATATTTGAAGCAATGCAATTTAAGGTTTCTAATGAGAAATTAAACATGGAATAGACGTTTAAATATTATACTATTACTTACTCTTCCGGTAAATCAAGTACTCCTTCTAGCCCATATTACTTGTCTTTTGTGATTCATTATCCCTTAAGGAATACATTAAAACATATATATATCCTTAAACATCTAAATTTAATTGATATTTTATTAATCGAAAAGCAAGCGGAGTTTTGCAAGGAAAAAGGAATAAACAATATTTTATTTGTATAAAATGTCAAAAATATTAAGACAAATTCAATTGCTAAAATGGTAGATACGTAGGCGAAGAAAGTATCATTTCATAGACGCACTAGAAGATAAGCGGCAAAAAAAACACTTTTTATTTTTATTATTAAGAAATTAAGCTCAAAGTAATAATATAATACAAGAAAATAAATAATAGATGAAGAGAACGAGGAGAGAGCTTTCTGATTCTTCAAGTTCTCAAATGTATCAACATGATTCTCAATACCTTTATTTATGGATTTACATTGAGGAACATCAAAGGGAGTCATGAACATAGTATTAATTATTGAGATCATTGAGAAAGATAATGAGAAAGTTATGAAGGTGTGAGAATTACAAAAGTAGACGGTTAAAATTTTATTAAACTTAAATCCATAAAAGATTTAAATTTTACCATAAATTAAATATATGTTAGTCCAAATAAATATCATGGGCTAATATAAATGGGTCAATTATTTAAATCCAATTAAATTAATTTAAATAAAGGTCCAATATACCATTGGACTAGCGTCTTCTATCGAATGGGTCGGCCCATGAGCCTCAAGCCCAATGACCCGCTAGGTCTTTCTTGGAGGCTACTCCACCCCACATCTATATAAAGGTGTCACAGGAGAAGGCTAAAAAAAAAAGAATCAAGCAAGCAGAAGGAAAGGCTAAAGAAGCTCTGAAGAATAGCATCAAAGTCTCCATCTATATCTGCAATTGCCGTCTGTGGTCAAATTCCAAAGGCGAACTCAAATCATAGGCGGGCGCTTCAAATCTTCCGTTCGTGATAACCCAACACCAAATCGTGGTTCGCGACGACTTTCAAATTGTTCGTGACGTACTACAAATCCGAAATCTGTCAAGTTCAAGATCAAGCTCTCAAGCTCTTGAACCATCGTCCTTGAGGAGAAGAATCAGAGGGCTACATCTCTTTAGATTTAGAGATATTTTAGAGATTGTAACCCCATCACTTGAAATCGAATATAATATTTATCGCTATATTTCTTGTCTTGATTATTATTTTTCAGGAGCGAAATTTAGTTGTTACAAATTTTGGTATTCCCGGTGGGACGATCTGTACCTCTCATCTCTTCTCAACTCTCAACATTCAAGATCACTAAGATGGCTTCAAAGAAGATCGACTCAAAAGTTGCTGACTCCAAGTTTTCTTCTAACGCTGAAAGTATCCTGAACGCTACTATGGGGAGTCTTGGGCCAATCACCCGAAGCAAGGCGAGCGTCTTGGGACAGCAAGCACTCCAAGTGTCGTCTGCACCAATGCATGCTTTGAGATCTTCATCATCCGAAGAAGAAAGGTCCTCTGCTAGCAAGTTAGAGAGAGGAGATAATACTGCAGAAGTTGTGAGAAAGCTCTTGCTCAACTTACTTTGTACAATACCAAGAGTCAGCTTACCCAACCTGATGATGAAATTTTAAGTGTTGGCTCTACGCCAATCTCGCCACATGACATGTTCCAAACTGAGTTCAATCCGTGGGAAGGTCTCGGTTAATCTTCATCATCTGTAATAATCATGGAGGCAATGATGACTAACACTTCGACAATGGAGGAGCAACCCGCAAACCTGACAAAGGCGATTGATGGCTTAACAAAGTATGCTCAAGATCAAGATGTCCGTATCGCAAAATTGACAGGTATAGTTGAAAGCATGATGGATGGAGAATCAATTCATGCACCTGGAAAGCTCTCTGAAGTCCATGAGAAGGCTAATCCTCCAACAAAACAAGTGTCATCCGCCAAAGAACTTCATGTCCCCTCCGAAGGATCAATTTTCATCGAACAATTGAAGGAATTCATTATGGGAACTATCAAAGATAAGTATGAGGTCACTTCAAAGTCTTCTCTCACGTACGCAAAGCCGTATACTGCAAGAATCGATAGCTTGAATATGCCTTCCGGCTATCAGCCTCCCAAATTTCAGCAGTTCGATGGCAAGGGAAATCCAAAGCAACATGCCGCGCACTTTGTTGAGACATGCAACAATGCAGGGACTTATGGAGATTATCTTGTCAAGCAGTTCGTCCGCTCACTAAAGGGGAATGCTTTTGATTGGTACACCGACCTCGAGGCTGGATCCATTAATAATTATGACCAATTGGAGCAAGAGTTTCTCAATCACTTTTATAGCACGAGGCGTACTGTGAGCATGGTGGAACTTATGAACACTCGCCAACGAAAAGATGAACCAGTTATTGACTTTACCAACCGATGGAGGAATGCAAGCCTTAACTACAAAGATAGGCTAAGCGAAGCTTCTGGCATAGAGATGTGCATCCAAGGAATGCATCGGGGACTTCGTTACATCTTGCAAGGAATTAAGCCCAGGACATTTGAAGAACTTGCCACCTGTGCTCATGACATGGAGTTGAGAATGGCTTCTGCGAGAAATGAAGGGCTGCCCATCTACGAACCTCGCCCAGTAAGAGATAAGCAAGAAGTCAAGAAATGGAGCAAGTTAGTACCCAAGAATGAAAGCAAAGAATCCATGAACGTCAATGCCTCTCCTTTGAAGTTTACTACCAAGTTGACCAAGAAACAGAGTATGAAAACAACTTCCTCTCAAGACAGTGCAAATCAGAAGTTGACTCTCAAAGAGATGCAAGAGAAGGAGTACCCATTTCTAGACTCCGATGTGCCTGCAATATTTGAAGAACTCCTCGAGCTAAAGCTTATTGAGCTGCCAGAGATGAAGCAGCCAGATGAAGCTGGAAAAAGCAATGACCCGAATTACTGCAAATACCATCGGTTTGTAGGTCACCCTCTTGAGAAGTGCTTTGTCTTCAAGGACAAAGTTATGGATTTGGCTCATCAAAAGAAGATCGAGCTTGAAGATGAAAAGGCGAGCACAAACCATGTGTCCATTGCCTTTGGCTCATTCGATCCGATTGAGATATGCACATGTGAAGGGAATAAAGATGAAAAATTATTGGAGGATGACAAAGTCCGAGTTGATCAACCTGATGAAGAAGGTTGGACCATGGTGACTCGTCGAAAGCAACCTACGAGGAATAAGATGGTGAGAAGACTAAAGAAGCAACAAATGGTTAAGAGCCCAAAGAAGGTGAAGATAGAGACACCATCACCAAAAGCCACGCCACCCGGTGACTTTGGGAGAATTCATGCCGAGTTGGTTTCGCATGAGGATTTCTGATGATGATGACAAAGCCTTGTGTTGTAATGCTGATAAAGAAGAAGAGGAAAAGAACGAAGTCACATCAACACCATCTCCATCACTGTCTAATAGTCTTGTTGAGTCCTCCTTCCAAGAAGCATATGGCTGTAATGAAAAAATCACCTTCACTGAAGGCGATCTCCTACTTGGTGAGACACTACACAATCTCCTTTTGTTTATGGTGGGTTATGTGCTCGAGTGGAGGATAAACAGAATCTTGATAGATGACGGTAAAGGATCTGCAATGAACATTCTTCCCATTCGCATAATGAAAGAACTCGGCATCTCAACTGAAAAACTTTCTGAAAGCCGACTGATGATTCAAGGATTCAATCAAGGGGGACAAAGGGCCATAGGAGCTATCAAACTAGAAATCACCATGGGAGATACGCAATCAACTACATAGATGCATATGATTGATGAAAAGACTTCACACAATTTGTTGCTTGGCAGGCCGTGGATACACGAGAACAAAGTTGTCCCATCAACTTACTACCAATGTTTGAAATATAATAAAGATGGAGTCAAAAAGAAGATAGTTGCTGACAACAAGCCGTTCGCTGAAGCCGAGGCATACTTCGCTGATGCAAAGTACTACTTGGAGAACCGCATCGTGAAGGGAGTAAAAGTTGATGACATCACGAAGGCCAAAGGTGATAGTATCGTGTCCAAAAGGGCTGAGGTAGCTTCTGGTCAAGATAAAGTTACAATAGAAGCACACCAAGTTTCTAAAGCTCACAAAAAGAATGTTGCAACTACAGGCAAGAAAATAGCTCTTTTATTTCGTTACGTCCCAAAAGTGAAGAAAGATGAAGGAGAATCATCAAGCCTCCAAAAAGATGCACTAAGAGAATTAACCCTTCCTATCAAGCAGATTGATACCATAACGTTATCTTCAAAGCTACTGGAAAAGTTTATGGCCCCTACATGCCTCAAAATAAGGCACTCCCCACGAAACGCACAAATGAAGGTTTTGATCCTAATGCTTACAGGTTGTTCGCAAAGGTTGGATATGATCCCAACGAACCATCTAAGCTAGGGAAGCTCCCACCTGAAGCTACTAGGAAAGCAAACACGATGAAGGATAAGGAGCATGTGGTGAAGCAATCACGTGAGGGTTTGGGTTACAAACAACCCCCGCCAGTTCGCATCTCCATTAGAAGAGCAAGTATTAACTATATCACGATGGAAGATGAACCCGATGATCCTAATAAAAGGCCTTATGTCTTTGATCGACTTGGAGAACCAACTATAAGAACTTCTGTATTTGAGAGGTTGGGGCCATTGAAAAGGAAGAAGAACAAGTCCCAAAGAAATTATGAAGAAATAAGAAGACCTTTGCCATCTAGAGTCCAAAGTATCTCCAAAGAATGTCAAAGCCCGATCCCTTCCAGAATGAGGCGACAATCAGAACTTTTGATTTCTTGCGGAGAGGTACTCAAAGTGAAGACTCGCACAGTGGTCCACACCAGAGAGCATGACGAAGATGAAGAAAGTGTAGGATCTTCATATTACATTACTGCGAATGAGGAGAAATACACTCCATTTCTAAGGAAGGTCGACGAAAATTTGGGAGATGCCTCTTGGTGTGGCCATAGATCTTTAAATGATGGTGATCCCTAAGAAGACAAAGATGTCGAGGACGCACCTCCAGAACTAGAAGAAGGAATTAAAATGACAGTTGATGCATTGAAAGAAGTCAACCTTGGTACTGCAGAAGACTCCAGGCCCACCTGTAAGTGCCCTACTAACCACAGATAAAGAAAGCTCTTATGTGGAGCTACTCAAAGAATATAGAGATATCTTTGTTTGGAGCTACAAAGAGATGTCTGGTTTAGATCCTAAAGTAGCAGTTCATCGTCTCACGGTCCAGAAATGAGCTCGTCCTGTTAAGCAAGCGCAAAGACGCTTTAGGCCAGAATTGATCCCATCAATCGAAGCCGAGGTCAATAAACTCATCGAAGCTGGTTTCCTTTGGGAGGTTAAATATCCTACATGGTTTTCAAGCATTGTTCCTGTGAAGAAGAAGAATGGACAAATTCGAGATTGTGTCGATTTTAGAGATCAATAATGCATGTCCTAAGGATGAATTTCCGCTCCCCATCCCGGAGCTTATGATTGATGCTCGTAATCAATTCGGATGTTGGACCCTGGACCTACCCGGCCCGTATATTTCATAAGATGTGTTTCATTCGGGAGGATGAACTAGACTTTTTTCATTGCCCCACCCAAGGCAGATCGAACAAAAGATCTTCCCATTAATGCTTTCATTCTCCCGACTATGATACTGGTAAAGATCGCTCTTCCTTCTCTCCGACACGGTTGTTGAGACACACTAAGTAGTCATGGGAAAGATAAATGTCATATGTGTGAAGGATATTGAGATAGCTTCTTCCTTCTCTGTGTGTGGGTTAGCCCTTGATCGGATAATTATTCTTATTTAAAAGTGAAAAAATAGAGTTCTTTTCACTTTAACAACTGTGTTTTTTCTAACAACTCGAAAGGCGATTCCCCCTACTATCTACAACTCTAGATGCAACAAGAGTGCTTATTCCCCCAACAAAAGATTCATTCCCCTTCTCTTCCCGACGATCGGTAATTCTTTCTAACAGCTCCATCTGCCCATCTGAGAATGACGCCCTCACCACCGGATACGAGGCGATGTCTTTCATGAATGGATCATCTGGCTACAATCAAATACGTATGGCACTGAAGATGAAGAGCTTACTGCATTTCGCACTCCTAAAGGCATTTATTGCTACAAATTAATGCCTTTTGGCTTGAAGAATGCCGGCGCCACATACCAAAGGGCAATGCAGAATATCTTTGACGACATCCTCCACAAGAATGTGGAATGCTATGTGGATGATTTAGTGGTGAAATCAAGAAAGAGAGGAGAGCACTTGCAAGACTTAGGAATGGTGTTCGAACGACTCTGGAGATATCAACTTAGGATAAACCCATTGAAATGTGCCTTTGGAGTTACTTCTGAAAAATTCCTTGGTTTCATTGTTCGACACTGAGGGATTGACATAGATCAAGCCAAAGTTGATGCATCTTGAAGATGCCCGAGCCTAGAAATATACATGAACTGAAAAATCTACAAGGAAAATTGGCGTACCTTAGAAGATTCATCTCAAATCTAGCAGGGAAGTGCCAGCCTTTTAGCCATCTCAGAAGAAGGGTGTACCTTTTGAATGGGACCAAGCTTGTAGCAACGCATTCCAAAGCATCATATCCTACTTGATGAAACCTTTCTGGCGGCCCCTATACCAGGAAAGCCATTGATTCTTATATAATGCAGCCCAAAGAAGGTCAGTTGGAGCCCGGCCAAAGAAAATAGTGAAAGTAAAGAAAATTCCCTCTACTACTTGAGTAGGATGATGACCCCAAATGAGCTGAAGTATTCTCCGATCGAAAAGTTGTGTCTGCATTGGTTTTCGCAATTCAAAAGCTGAAGCACTACTTTCAAGCTCATGTCATCCGTCTCGTCTCAAGGGCGAACCCAATAAGTTTGATATGTCAAAACCCGTCCTCAATGATCGATTAGTAAGGTGGTACCTCCAATTTCAGCAATTCAAGATTGTGCACATCCCACAAAAAGCTGTGAAAGGACAAGCTTTGGCAGATTTCTTGGCAGTTCATCCAATTCCTGATGATTGGGAGTTGACTGATGAACTACCTGATGAGGATGCAATGGTCATCGAAGTGCAACCACCATGGAAAATGTATTTTGATGGTGCCGCACATCGTGAAGGAGCTGGTGCAGGTGTTGTGTTTGTCACTTCTCAAGGAGAAGTCTTGCCATATTCCTTCACCTTAACACAACATTGGACCAATAACGTTGCAGAATATCAAGCACTTATACTTGGGCTTAAGATGGCCGTTGATATGAGACAACTCCAATTACATATTTATGGAGACTCTGAGTTAGTGATCAATCGATTGCTAGGTAGCTACGAGGTCAAAAAGCCAGAATTGCGTCCTTATCATGGTTATGCACAGAAATTGATTGGATGGCTTGGCAATGTAACTCTTCAGCATGTGCCAAGGAAGGAAAATAAGAAAGCGGATGCCTTATCTGCTCTAGCTTCCACATTGACTCTGCCCGGCCAGACAAAAATCACTATCTGCCAAAAATGGATAGTACCACCAGATGAGAACGAGGATGAAGAAAGCAAGCTCGAGCGTTTGGTAGCCGTCGCTGAATTTGAGAAGGTTGATTGGCGACAAACCATGATCGACTAATTATGTTATGGGATACTTAGATCCAAGAAGAAACACCGAAATTCGTCGGCGTGCCCCTCGCTTCCTTTACTACAAAGACACTTTGTATCGAAGATCGTTTGAGGGAAGTTCTCTTGCGTTGTTTAGGGGAAGATGAAGCAACTCAAGCTATGCAAGAGGCACACTCTGGAGTTTTTGGATCATATCAATCTGGGCCAAAACTCCACTTCCACATTAAGAGGATAGGTTACTATTGGCTGACAATGGTGAAAGATTGATTAGATTATTCTCGAAGATGCAAGGCTTTCCAGTTTCACGCAAATTTTATACACCAACCACCTGAAATGTTACACCCTACTGTTGCATCTTGGCCATTTGATGCTTGGGGATTAGATGTTGTTGGACCACTTCCAAATACTAATTACTTCTCAAAATGGGTCGAGGTCGTCGCTCTCAAGGAAGTGAAGAAAAAGAATAACAGATATCGTTTCGGCATTCCTAGTTATATAATAACAGATAACGGAAAACCATTCGATAACAAATTGATGACCAAGATCTGTGAACTTTTTGGCTTCAAGCAACGTAATTCGTCAATGTATTATGCTGCTGCAAATGGACTAGCCGAAGCATTTAACAAGACACTTTGCAACTTGTTAAAGAAGGTCGTCTCTAAGTCTAAAAGAGATTGGCATGACAGAATGGAAGAAGCTTTGTGGGCATATCGGACGACTTATCGCACGCCGACACATGCAACTCCTTATTCTCTTGTTTATGGAGTCGAAGCAGTTCTTCCTCTTGAGCGTCAAATACCATCCTTGCGACTCGCTGTCCAAGACGGTCTTACTGAAGAAGAAAACGCTCGTCTGTGCCTTGAAGAACTAGAGTCCCTTGATGAAAAAGGGCTAGAATCTCAACAAAGTCTTGAATGTTATCAAGCTCATCTTTCTCGTGCTTTCAACAAAAAGGTTCGCTTGAGGTCCTTCCAAGTTGGCGATCAAGTTCTTGCAGTAAGAAGACCTATTTGTATTGGGGGAAAATCGATATTACACTTGGAATTAATTATGTGGCTAACGTGTCAAGACACGTGGATTATTAGAGGAGTGACAACTGGCAAAGAGTGCTCCAAGAGATACGAGTCTTAACAGGTACGAGAGAAGTGTCATAAAGATAAGAAGGAATGATCACTTAGGCCTCTTGATAATTTGAAGAGACGCCGGTGGAATGAACCATGACAATAAAAAGTACAGATTCGTAATATCTCCAATTAATGAGTGTAAATGATAGGAAACGTTATAGAATCTTCATGAAACAGTTACGATTGCTAATTATAACATTTTATTAATGTCATTAAATGCTCATAATGGCTCTATTATGAAAGGAAAGAAACGTTGTACTTGGAAATATTTATAAAAGCGAGAGAAGTAACATTTGGATGGACACAATGATTATTATTGGAATATACTTATTTACATTGTTTTATATTGCTTACTCGGCTACTTCTCAGTCCAATTTTCCTTTCTTGTTATACAATTATCTCTTTATTTGATTATCAGTAACCCGAGTTCTTCTAAAATTATGGTTTGACCGAAATTCCTATTTTTTGGTTAAACAAATTGGTTCTGTTACCGGGAATCTAATAATCTTTTACTTTCTAAATCAATTCTTTTTGTCAAAACAATCATGTCGAACGTTAACGACAACAACCAACAGAAGTCAACAACAATAGTTGAATCAGCAAAATCAACAAGGAGATGGAACTCCAATTCCTCGCCACGAAACTCTCCTCGACAATCTCGCAAAGGGACACCTGAGAGATCTGAATCGCATATGAATGACCAGTGTGGGGACGATCAAGATATCGATGCAGCATCAAAACAATTAATTGCAGAACAGGTCAGCAATGCTCTTCAGGCTTTTGTTAGCAGGTTGCCAACCGTACCACCAACTCCACCTCCAAACAACACCGTGACCATAGAGAATCTGCGCTTGGGACTCATTAACTCAGGCAGCGGAGGAACACCCAGCGAATCTCGTAATGGAGGGTCAGGTAACCCAGTTAATTCTGATTTACAAAGTTTATTACTAACTCTGCAGAAACAACTCAAGGAACAAAGCGATCGCATAGAGCAAATACCTGGAGTAACGCCCGTAATCAAGGGGATAGATATAGAAAAATACTCTCAAGATCCTTGGAAGCCAAGTGTCGCTCCCTTACCAATTCCAAAGAAATTCAAGATGCCTGATATCCCAAAGTACGATGGAACAACTGACCCACGGGATCACGTGACTGTATTTACAACTAGTGTAAAGGGCAACGATTTGACCAAGCAAGAAATTGAATCACTGTTGGTCAAAAAATTTGGAGAGACACTCACGAAGGGAGCATTAACATGGTATTCTCTTTTACCTAAAAATTCTATTGATTCTTTTGATGAGCTTGAAGATTCATTTATCAAAGCACACTCGGGAGCTCAAAAAGTTGAAAAAAGAATGGAGGACATTTTCAAAATAAAACAAGGAGATACAGAGCTGCTCAGGGAATTTGTAGACAGATTTCGGCGTGAAAGGATGATGTTATCACGCGTACCTGATAACTGGGCGGCTATGGCCTTTGCCAGTAATTTGAACGAAAAAAGCTCAGAAGCCACAAGAAGACTCAAAGAAAGCTTACGAGAATTTCCTGCAACAACTTGGAATGATGTTTACAACAGGTACAGCACAAAGCTGCGGATAGAAGAAGACACTATCATTCAGTCTCGGAAAGATGAAAGAGTAAGTTCAAGAAGGACAGAACTGAAAAAAGGTCCGGTAAAAACTGATACAATCCTTATATGGGACCAGCAGGAAGAGATTCGCGTTCGAAACAGGAAAACCCAAGGTATGATCCTAGATCAAGGGATCGAGAATCAGGTTCGTCATTGAGGTTCGGAAAGGAGCGAAACTTAAGGGATATGCGAGACGACGACAGAGGTTCAAAGGCTAAAATTGGTGGTTACAACTTTAATGTAAGCACATCCGAGCTGGTAGCTGTTCTAAGAAGCATGAGAGACAAGGTACGGTGGCCAAAAGAAATGAGATCGAACCCAAACAGGAGGAATCCCGAATTTTGGTGCGAGTTTCACAATGATCACAGTCACAAAATGGCCGATTGTAGATTACTACAAGGTGAAGTTGAACATCTACTAAAGCAAGGGTACTTAACAGAATTGTTTAGTGAAAAAGGAAAACAGGCATATATGAAAAATAGGCAAGAACCGCCGAAACCTCCATCACCAAAAAGAATGGTTAACGTCATAAATGGAGGGGAGGAGATCAATGGCGTAACATACACGGCAGCAAAGAAGGGGTCAAAAATCACAGTCACCCACGGGAAGCAAGTTCGTGAAGTTTTGGAAGAAGACAGTATAACATTTGATGATGCAGATGCAGATGGCTTGCTACCCTGCACAATGATGCACTGGTAATATCTTTACATGTACATGACACTAATGTAAAATGAGTTTTGATTGATCCAGGTAGTTCTGTGAATATCATTCTGATGAGAGTGGTAAATGAGATGCAAGCCGATGATAAGTTGATACCCAAGGCACACACCTTGTCTGGTTTTGACAACTCAAGCGTCGTAACAAATGGGGAGATAATACTCACCACATTTGCAGAAGGAGTAGTCAAAGACACCAATTTCAAGTGATAGAAATGGACATGGATTACAATATGATTCTTGGCAGGCTATGGATTCACGAAATGGATGTTGTTCCGTCTACCTTACATCAAGTTATCAAGTTTCCTTCATAATGGGGAATACAAAAAATCCGTGGTGACCAACAAGCTTCTCGAAGCATTAACTCAGTGGCAGACACAAGCGCAAAAAGCCACGAGAAATAGCAATTACAGAATTCAGTTGAGGATTCAACAATACAAGCCTCAACTATAGACGGGCAAACAGATGTAGACTCAAGGCCTGATACTATTCAAGAACCAGAAGAAAATGAAAACATCAAAAAAACAATCGAGGAATTAGAAGCTGTGGTACTATTTGTACATGGCCGGATAGAAAAGTCTACATTGGAACCAACCCCAGCCCGTAGATGAAACGTAAGTTAATTGAATTTTTAAAAGCTAACACAGATTGTTTTGCTTGGTTGCATTCAGATACAGCAGGTATACCACCGGAGGTAACGACCCACAAACTGAATGAAGATCCAACATACCCACCTGTCAAACAAAAGAAAAGGAAACAAGGTTCCTTCAAGAATCAGGTGATTCAAGATGTGGTACAAAAGCTTTTAAAAATCGGGTCTATCAGCGAGGTAAAGTATCCAGATTGGTTGGCTAATAATGTAGTAGTTCCTAAAAAGAACGGTAAGTGGCGAGTTTGTGTAGACTATACTGATCTAAATAAAGCTTGCCCAAAAGATTCTTTTCCATTACCGCACATAGATCAACTAATTGATGCTACTGTAGGACATGAATTATTAAGCTTTTTAGATGCTTATTCAGGATATAATCATATCAAAATGGATCCTCTAGATGAGGAAAAAACTTCCTTTATTACAGACAGGGGGACTTACTGCTATAAAGTTATGCCATTCGGCTTAAAGAATGCTGGAGCCACGTACCAAAGGCTTGTGACCAAGATGTTTCAAGAACATCTAGGAAAAACCATGGAGGTCTATATAGATAATATGCTAGTCAAAACACAACAAGCAGGGGATCATATTCAGCACCTATCAGATACGTTCGAGATTCTTCGCAAATTTAACATGAAGTTAAATCCAGAAAAAAGTGCATTCGGTGTACCATCAGGTAAGTTCTTGGGATTCCTTGTTTCTAACCATGACATTAAAGTAAACCCTGCACAGATTAAGGCTATTGAAGAAATACCAGATATACTTTCAAGCAAAAAAGAAGTACAGAGATTGACAAGAAGAATAGCAGCATTGGGGAGATTTATTTCTAAATCATCGAAAAAATGATTTAAGTTCAATCAATGTGAATGGTCCGAAGAATGTCAACAGGCA